AAATACTAATTTCAAATACTAATTTGAGCTCATGCTCGGGACGGGTAGCCTATTTGTGCAGACTATGGAGCAGTGCAGGTCCAAAAGAGACTTAGTTCTAGCACTTTGCTGCCAGGCCTTGCCAAATCATTTAATTCCCCTGATGATACTTATCTTGATGTGAAGATCAAGGGAGATAATAAGTGTCACGCACATGCTTTGCACACAGGAGGCAGGGTCTCTCCTGCTGCTGTCACCCCCACCAAGGCTCCAAGGGGGTGTTTTCCATCCTTGCCCATGGTCATTCCTGCCATGTTGAAAACCACTCTCAGGCAATCCACCTTCTCCCCTCTACTTCTTTTGTCTTTCTATTTAGGGAAAACCAAGACCAGAATTAACTTGGAAGAAGGATGGTGCAGAGATTGATAAGAATCAAATAAACATCCGCAACTCTGAGACTGATACAATCATATTTATCAGAAAAGCAGAGAGAAGCCACTCTGGGAAATACGATCTGCAGGTCAAAGTAGAAAAATACGTGGAAACCGCATCCATCGACATCCAGATTGTTGGTAGGTTTGGAGGAAGAAACTCGAATGTTCTGTCAAAATAGTGTGGGAACTAAATGTCCTTGACATTAGGGGAGAAATGGAAAGTTTTGTTAGGTTACCTTTACATAAAATTTTTTAAGATTAAAAAAATATATAAATTATTAAGATTTGTTAGCATTTCAAAATAACTTTTCACTGACTAAAAATGTTAATCATAAGAGATTTGGGGCACATGTGTTCAAGAAAATTAATGTATGTACTTTTTGGTGAAATCTATCTGTACTACTTTAGCAAACGAGCTCACTCTTGAGTTTCCCAATTCCCCAATGATAAATCTATTCTCTATATTGAATTCTTGCCTTAAAAAAATTGTAGATTCTGGATGTAGCTTAACATGTTTCTTACTATACCTAAAAATCTCTTAAAAGTTTGAATGGGGAATGAAGAATTTTTGTTAAATTTCTGTTAAATGTAAGGAAGATGAACCTAAACAGAATTAAATAGTTAAACACTGAATGGGTCGCTCCTTCAGGGCTTGTTAGATGCTTACAAAGAAAAAGGTTAGTTCCTGCTTTTGCCCAGAGTTAGGGGAATAGAGCAGAGATCCTTTGGGGGTGTACTCACTTATTAAACTGTTCTATAACTGTCTCTTTTTAAATTTTATTTTTATTTTTATTTTATTTTACTTCTCATACCGGGAATTGAACCCAGAGGTACTAAACCACTGACCCACATCCCAAGCCCTTTTTAAAATATTTTATTTAGAGACAGGGCCTCACTAAATTGCTGAGGCTGGCTTTGAACTCTCGATCCTCCAGCCTCAGCCTCCTGAGCCACTGGAATTACAGGCATGTGCTGTGCACCCAGCCCCTATAACTCTCTTGATGTCAAGAAATATATTTAAGAGCAGAGCTGGGAGAAGTCTCGTTTCCAGTATTTTTATTCTTATGGTGCTGGATGGGGATTGAACCCAGAGCCTCATGCATGCTAGGCAAACACTGTACCACAAAACTACGACCCTATCCCTCCAATAATTTTTATTATATTTCAGTCAATTTGCTAAAACTTGAGGTTCTCTAACCAAAAGGCCTCTGATGAGCCTCTCCTCGGGTGAAAGGACATGCCCTATAACCAAGCACTCTTCCCTGTGGCTAAACCTCTCTAGTTTTTGCTGACAGGAGTGTTGCTCTGTGGCCTTGGATCTGGTCCTGCTCCATTCTAACCAAAGGCCCAGGGTCTCGGATGCCCCTCATGGTAGGGTGTGGAAGAGCTCCGCCTCCTGTGGCAAAGGGAAGGAGGACACTTTATGATGTAACTGTATAGACTGGCAGGGAAAAGGACCTCACAGTGATGCTGTGAATCCATCCTGTAGACCGTCCAGGTCCACCCCAGTCTGTGAAGATTGAAGATGTCTGGGGAGAGAATGTGGCTCTAACGTGGACACCGCCAAAGGATGATGGAAATGCGGCCATCACAGGGTACACGATCCAGAAGGCCGACAAGAAGAGCATGGTAAGGGCTGGTGCTCTCTGTTCAGTGGCAGGAGCAAAATCACCTCTCATTAGAGGTGGTGGGGTGGTGTGAGGTTCTGACAGGTGAGGAGACTGTGGAGCCACAGAGAAGAGATGTGGCAGAGCAGAAAAAGTAGCACATTGGGAGCCACAGAGTCGGGCTCAAGGTCACTTAAGGCCACATGCATGTCATCAATCACTGGACCTCTTTGGTCTCCATTTTCCTTATCTATAAAATGGAGGCACAGATACGTACCTCACTTATCTATTATAAAGCTAAACAACATAAAGCAGTTAGTGCGATGCTTAGTAAAGTTCAACAAATATTTACTCACTCAAAGCAATTCTGACTCAAATCTGTAGCTGGCAACTCTTTTCTTCTTGTGAAACAAATGTTGGATTGTGGAGACGTGTCTTAAAAAAAAAAAAAGGAGACAAAAACAAGATTGAAAAGAAATATTCTACAATGTGCAGCCTAAGCTAAGATCCTAAAGAGAAAAATATTACATGTGTTCAAGGAGCAACCTAGTTGGAGTATGAATTATTATAACTTACATTTTACAGATGAGGTAAATGAAGCTCATACAGGATCTGTGGCTTGTTGGAGATCGCCAGAAATTAGCCATTGGTGTCTGAATCGGAACCCATACTCTACACCTTAGTACTGACCTGTATATGAATGAATGAATAAATCAATGTGTGGACATGGTGAATTAAAGCATTTTTCATTCTTATAGTAAAATATCATACCAAATGATGTAGATAGAAAGTCTATGCGTTTGTTCTTTTAGATCTCAGTAAGAAAATTAGGTCTTGCAGTTACATTGGATTCATAGGAGAAAGTGTGGGAAAAGACATTCTTAAGGAAAAGAAGTTTCAGCCACTTCTTTCTGTGACAGGCATGGCTTGTCCCCACACCCCTGCCCCACCCCTGTAGGGATTACATGTCAAAATAAGATTTGGTATTTAAAGTGATATCTTTCATGGAAACATGGACAGCTTGAAAGCAGGACTGATGGATGACCTTGCGAAGGAAGGATCTGAACATTTCCAGCTTCTTAGCAATAAGAATTCTCCACTGGACCTTAGCCTGATACTGGCAGTGAACCCAGAGGGCTCCTTGCAGAGCCTCCCTGTTCTTCCACCCTCTGCATACTTGCCCAACACTTACCTTCTTGAGAACATGGGTATCCAGTCAAATCCTGGAGAGCTAGGACTTTAGTGCCACTCCTTGTGACTGAGATCTGCCTAGGACACCCCCCCCCCCCCACCGCCTGTATTCCAGTTGCATTCCGGCAGGGACAGACCAAGAGACCACAAGATGCTGCTCCTCCCAGTGCCACCCGCAAGGAAATCGACTCATCACTGTGTCATCACAACTGCAGATGCTGTTCTCCACTTAAATTCCCAGTCAACATTAGTTTTATTCAGTGCCCAAACACTCACTTTTCAAGTCTGACCATATATTGAGCACTATTGTAGCTGCTGAATCAAACTTTTTAATTTTTTAATTTTTTTCCATATAATTTTTTTTTTAAAAAAGACAACTCCCACTCTTGGGGCACTCATAGTCAAAGGGAAGAAGGAAGACATGAAGCCAAATGGTAACACAATATAATAAATGTTAGATTGGAGGTTTGCATTTAAGTGCTTTGGCAATAGAGAAAGATATAACTATCTGCTGTCTAAAATATCCAGAAATCATAGATCATGAAGGCCTCTGAGAGTCCAAGGAAGATGCTTTTCTTGATAAAGTGACTTTTTGTTAGCACATATGTTTTCTCAATTAATAGTAATGAAACATGGTATGATGTGGTTTCATCCGGCTGCAAGAGAAACTTTAAGACTATTATGTTTTGTTTTATGGTGAGGAAACAAAAACAAACCTGTGATGGGCACTGTTGGTACAAAGAGTTGAGAAGCAAATCAGGTTTTATGTTGTGGAGTGCACTTTCCAAGGAGGGAATATGAAGAGGAAACAAGTAAATAAATAGATAGATATTTTATATATATATATATATATATATATATATATATATATATATATATATATATAAAACTTGTATATATTTATATATATTTAATTTTCATGTATATATATCATACATATATTTTTATACATATAATTTTGGTAGCTAGTGTTGTGGGGAGAAATTAGCTAGGTTAGGTGATAAAAGCGTGACCAACGAGACACAGGTGGTTGAGAAGGGGTGATATCTTAAAGAATCTGTTAATGATGTTTGGAAAATTCACTGGATGCTATTAATTTTCCTCTGGTAATTTAGTTCCATATCTTATCAATAGATAAGTTGGCACTAAAATTATACTTTGTTCTACAAAAGATGGATAGAGAAGTAGGTAGATAAGTAAATGAGAGACATGGTACGGTTATGAAAAAATATAAAGTTGGTAGAAAATGACATCTAGGGATATGGAATCTAATGTGTACATGAAAATTGAATTTCATAGTCAAGTATAACCAAATTGTAAAATATTAAGCCACGTGTACTTTGTTGTAACTCTCAATATAAAAACTAGTACTCTATTTTTTCTTTTCATTAATGAAACAAACTTGTTATTTATTCTAAACAACAGTTGGAAGAGTTGTGTGTTTTTAGTTGATTTTTCTCAAACTGTTATTATTTTTTCTTTCAGGAATGGTTCACTGTCATTGAGCATTATCACCGAACCAATGCCACCATCACTGAACTGGTCATAGGGAATGAATATTATTTCCGGGTCTTTGCTGAGAACATGTGTGGCCTCAGCGAGGATGCGACAATGACAAAAGAGAGCGCTGTGATTGCCAAGGATGGTGAGTTGGGAATGGAGTGACATCCAGAAAACTAGGTGGGCAGGGATTAGATGGATAAGGCTGAAAGAAGCCGAGATGTTGTGAGGGGAAAACTATGGAAACAATTATTATTGGAAAATTATGATAAAAATGTTCAAGTGAAATTTAAATTTTACAGGCAAAATCATTCAAGGGATATTACATTATAATTGCATTTTTTTTTAATGAAGGCTTTAAGCCAAAAGCAATGGCACATGTCTGTAATCCCAGTAGCTGCGGAGGCTGAAGCAAGAGGATTTCAAATGCAAAGCTAGCCTCAGAAACTTAGTGAGGCCCTAAGCAACTTAGTAAGACCATGTTTGAAAATAAAATATAAAAAGTGCTTGGGATGTGGCTCAGTGGTTAAGTGCCCCTGGGTTCAATCTCTGGTACAAAAAATTAAAATAAAAATAAATTAAAATATAGGCTTTAATTGATTCCAGTTTCTGGGCTATGGAGCTATAAATGGCTAATGTCACTGGGATAGGAAAAAGTAGACATTTACTTCTTGGATTTCTGTTATTTTGATTCTTGGACACTTTCAATATAGCCACACATGAGACCCACTCAGCAAAGAAAGGAGAAGCTGAATTCTATCTTTAACCTTTCATTTCGTCATAGATTACTCTCCCTCTAAAGCCCTTCCTGATATTCACATTAGAACACATTTCTGATCAAAATTCTTGGGAAAAAAAACAACAATCCTGTCAATATTTGTGTTAGTGTCAGATGACTATTCTGGCTTTCCATCTTGTGTGTAATGATTGGCTGTACATTTTCTGAATGTATGCCATGTGTTATTTCTAAGCTCAAGGAAGTTTTAATCATGAGTGAAGCATGCCAAGAATAATATTGTCTCAAGCCAATTTGTACTTTTGAACATATTTTAATACTTGTTTTTAAGGCAAAATCTACAAAAATCCAGTGTATGAAGACTTTGATTTCACAGAGGCGCCCATGTTTACTCAGCCTTTGGTTAACACCTATGCTATAGCTGGTTACAACGCCACCCTGAACTGCAGTGTGAGAGGAAATCCCAAGGTACCATATTGTTCTATCATGTTAGTTAAACTGAGGAATTGACCTCAAGGTCCCTCTTTTATATTCCCATGTTATAATGGTTAACACTTTTATAAATGAACCTTCTAACCACTATTTGTGTCTTTTTGGGATGTGGGGAATGGAGAGTAGTAGTGTTTGTGGATAATTAGGTACACTATTCAAAAATAGTAAATGCCAGGCATGGTGATACATGGCTATAATCACAGGGACTAGTGAGGCTGAGGCAGGAGGACCACAAGTTTAAGGCCAGGCCCAGGAATTTAGGGAGGCCCTGCTTCAAATAAAAAAATCAAAAGGGCTGGGTGTGTGGCTCAGGGGTTAAACATCCCTGGGTTCAATCCTGGCACCAAAAAAAAAAAAAAAAAAAAAGAGTAGTAGGAAAAAAATGTTTATCTTTACTAAAAGAAAAAGAAAAAGAAAACCACCTAATTTTAAAAGAACCGAGAGGTAAATAAAATAAAGCAATGTTGAGTCACCTGAAAAATTAGGTGGTGATTTTGACTCATCAAGAGTCAAAAAGAAAAGAAAAGAAAGAGTTCTATAACAGATTAAAGTAAATAACAGTTATGCTATAATGCAAGGCAGAATGCAGAGTACTAAGAAGGAAGAGATCACTGAAGAGCTTTAGAAAGGTTTTAAGTTTTCATGTTGTTGACATTTGAAAATAACAACAAATTAACAAAGTTGTCCATGAAAAACTATGTCCCTGGGTGCAACTGTGGAAAAGTGCCCTAGAATCTGGAAAATTGTAACAGTAGTGTGTTTCCTGCATATGTCAACAGAGAGAGGGAAGTCAAAGGGAGAAGCCAGATAGGACACAAGGAAGACCCTGAATTAATGTGTAAATGGAAGTGATGTGGGGAAGGATGAGGAGACAGATCAGAGGTTTCACCCAGAGCTTAGGAGAACACCCAGGGCCGTTGGTGTCAGTTTGGGAGGCCCAGTGTGGAGGTGCTACATTTCACCCTTTGGAGCCCAAGCTCTAGAAAGAATTATCACTGAGGTAAGAGGGTACTGTGAAAAGCCAAGGACCAAGGCGTGAGCGTAGGGGAATGCTCCCATTTGGAAGGAAGAAGAGGACTGCGTGAAAGAGATAGGAAAGGTGCCATTTCTAGGTTCAGAGCAAGAAAAAATATTATAAAAAGTAGAAGGTGTTGAGGAAGGTGTTCAGAGAGTGGAGGAGTAGACAGAAAGAAGAAGGGAGTAGAGAATCAAGGATTTCAAGTGCAGTTCAGAACTCACAGAGCATGAAATCAACTTTCTGGGGGACTGGGTTGGAACTGATCTTGCATTGTCTGATGGGAGCAGAGCCACTGTCACTGATGATGACTTCAGATGTCATAGTGGGGAAGAAGTGGTTCAGAGGCATATGCAGACTCTTAAAGAATTAGGAAAGAATGTCCGTAAAAAGAAGTGGAGAAATGGCTGTGAGAACTTATGGTAATTTTCCGAAAAATGCCCAGCAATATACACTCCCTAGGATGAGTGGACATCATAGACCTGTACATCAATTTTTTTTAATTTGGAAATACTTGACACATAGTATATGTATGTATATATACACATACATATACATATATATACACACACATATCAAGAGTATATATTCAAAGTGTACAACATGAAAATTGGATAAACATGCATATTGTGTAATGATTATCACAATCGACTAACACATCTATCACCATGCACACTGTACACTGGATGCCCCAAACTCATTCAGCTCACACCTAAACGTTTGTATCCACATAGATAAAATTGAAATGCAACTGAATCCATCTGGGAAGATTGCCCTAGCAATGTCCCCTGAACAAATCTGACTTTCTTCTTCAGAACTACCCACTTGCTTTCTTGCCAACCACTAAGTAGAATGTAATTTGAGAAATAAATACACTGCCCAAGTAGATGTGTAGTCTTCAGTGTGCTTTCTTTCTAATCTATGCTTTAAAATTCTGTCACTGGCTTCGATGGCCTTTGAATGTGCAACATACAGATAGGTTTTGACCTCACTTTCTTCAATCTGAACTTCAGCCCAAAATAACCTGGATGAAAAACAAAGTTGCGATTGTGGATGATCCAAGATACAGGATGTTCAGCAACCAGGGAGTCTGTACTCTGGAGATTCGCAAGCCGAGCCCCTATGATGGAGGCACCTACTGCTGCAAAGCAGTCAATGACCTGGGGACAGTGGAGATCGAATGCAAACTAGAGGTGAAAGGTATGCCACCCACGGTCTCATGTATAGACCAAAGCAAAGGAACATTGTGTAATTATGGTTCTTAATGCAAAATCCAAGCTCTTTGCCAAAATGCTGCAACTGGGGCAGTTGTAATGGTAGCAGTAGC